TGGATGGGATCAGATCAGACCGAAGACCCACCGGCCTCACCACCCTGACCCCACTCAGCCAATAGTCGAGGCTTCAGGAGGAGTACGAGAACGGGGCAAGCATATTGCAGTACCTCCATCTACATACTGTCCCTTTTTTCAGCAATCTCCTCAGTAGAGTTGTGTGTTTATGTCAGTGCTGATTCTTAAGATTACAAGCGGTTTTGTCAAAGAGTCTAGATGAACAAATCAATTTGCATAAAATACTATCTTTTCTGTGTACTAATTGGATGAGACAATCAAATGTAATTCAGAATTCAGGAAAGAACTTTGTGCAGAATTTGGCCTCATCTTAGTCCTAGTACATTTGATTCATTAGACTTTGACCCTCATATCTGTATTAACAGAGACAAATCAATTCCTTTTTTTTCCTAGGATATAAATGGCATAATGTGTTGACTTTTTTTTTCCCTAGCATATTGCCATAGGTTCAAGAAGGGTTACTTTGGATTCCTTTTAGTGAAAGACAATGGAAAACATTACATGCTATATAGTAATATTAAAAGCAAGTATAGATGTAACAGGATTAAATAGCCACTAAGACTGCATTTGTAGTCTTAGTGTTACAGTTTTCTGTTACATTCAGCTTTAGCTGTTCGTTCCTCAGCCAAGGAGTGTCATAGTACCCGTTCTCTGGGTCAAATCTGTGCTGAAATACAGAATGAATAATGCACCTGAGTACTGTCTAGTTCAGTGAAATGAAAGTGAGGGACCCCGGTGTAGCAAAACATGTATGTCTCTTTGAAAGGACATGAACAGGTTGATCGCCTGAGTCGTGCAGAGTTAAATACGCTTCTGCATGAGGCCTCTGGGGATGGGTGTTGTCTTCATATAAACATACTGCAATGGGGACCAAATGGTTGAGGGCGGGGAGTTGCTCTGCCCAATGTTAATGCTTTGCTGTATTCCATTTTTGTCCCTACTAATGTTATTTCTCCAATGGCTTGCAGAGTTTTCTTTACTCTTGCGTAATGTCTGTACCTTTTACTTTCAGAATACCTCACTGAAGACTCATGTTAAGTAACGATCAAAAAAATAACTCCTCAATCTGTGTAGACATGGCAGGCACCATAACACTGTTAACATGTTATAGGTACAGGTTGAAGAAGAAAATACTGAAAAGCTGACAGCATGTTAAATATTATTTGTTTATACAAGTGCTAAAGTTATATTTGATATGTTAATGCAACCTCATTTTCTAGTAAAGGCCAAACACTATTAAGCGGTTATCTGCATTGATTTTTCTATCTTCAGAAATACTCAATTCATTATAATCCATCTTTACTCCTTTTGCATACCTGGAACTAGGACCATCTTTTAGCTCTTTCTGGGTGAGTCTTAAGGACTTTACTCAGTGTTATACTCCTGGTCCACTTCTTGACCTCTCCATCAGTGCCCCCTTTAGCAAGAGCTCCTTTTTGCAGTTTGTCTGGATTCCCTGTGGTGTTCTCAACCTTCCACCCTTAGCAGTCACTGAAAGGGGTCAGCACCTGCTGCAGGTTGAACCGGTGCCTCACAAACGTCTTCGTTCTGCTGAATCATGTTAGCTGATGCTCTTTAAAAAAGGCTTACCAGTAGCCTAATGGTTTAAATTAGAAGATGGGAGGGAAGAACAGGTGTACTTGCTGTCTGTCCTTTCTTTTCCTGTCTGAATCTCTTCTTATCTGTTTGGTATGTTACCTGCTTTGCTTTTCATTTTGCGTCTTAGCCGCTTGTGATATATCCTGTGCTGGGTAT